AGAAATATATATTTCTAGGATTTTTCTTTTAATGTTTTTAATATTTTCAGACTGTGGATAAGTGAATCAGCAGATTGCACAGATAATAATACTGTATTAGCTTGTTTTGACTGCTGCTTCTTTGCATGGCTTTGATCGCATTATTCTTATGACTACTAATATTAATATCAACCAGACTCTGTTGGATATCTTTCTTTTTTCAACATGTTTATTGTGTCATTTCACATTTCTGCTGTTTTAGATCTTTTGAGTTTAGAGATTTCAACTGCGATTTTTAACTGCTCCCCAGCAGCCTTTAATGGTTCTTGAAAGCTAAACGGGTAGTTCTGAATTGAGCTTGTCACAATTGAGCTTTTAACACATCTGTTCATCATGGCTGTCCATTAATACACTTTATTCTGATCAGACCTTTAAATTATCTTGACAAAGATCACCATCCTCCTCCTCACCGCCATCATCCCCATGGAAACATCCCAGAAATGCAGGGGGGAGGCAATACACCCACTCTGGGCTTTAGTCCGAACTTTACAAATTTTACTCCTCTCGTTTGTTCAGATGGCTGTGCAACCCAGCCATAGACACCCGTACCAGGAAGTGGGCTGTGGAAGGCCTGTCGTACTTGACCCTGGATGCTGATGTGAAGGATGATTTTGTGGAGGATGAACCAGCCATGCAGGCGATGTTTGAGTTGGCCAAGGTAGGCTCTCCAACGGCACCCCACCCAAATGGCACCCCTGAGATGTTTGCTGCTACGGCTCCCAGCATTCTAGACCTTTGTTCCTAACTAGGTGGGACTTCTCGTCAGGCTGAGCATGACTACCCGGCACAGACACACAATCCCACTCCTAGCTAAACGTTTACCGTCACACCCAGAACAGCTGTGCCATTTTTTCTTTCTTTATTCACATCAGAGCATTGCACAATTTAAAATTACTGATGTAGATAAAATACAGTAGGACCCTTGTCTCCATGGGGGATTGGTTCGAGACCCCCCCACCCGCAGATACTGAAAACCATGGATAATAGTACAGTGGTGGGCCGCATAGCAACAATAATCCATTCCAAAAAAATAATCGCTATATGGATTTGTCACTATGCGGGGCAAAAAAGCCCATAGGAACGCATTAAAACACGTTTAATGCATTCCTATGGGGAAAAACTCATCATTCTGCAAAAATCCTCCATGCGGCCGTCATTTTTGCTGCCCGGTAAGTGAGGAAAGGGCGCGAAAACACTGTGGGCGGCCATTTTATTTACCCAGCGGCCATTTTGGAACTGCCGATCAGGTGTTTTTAAAACATCGCAATGCAAAAATCAGTAAGCAAAATGCTTACCGATCATCGCAAAGCGATGTTTTACCATCTAAAACATTGCAATGCGATCGCAAAAGCGATTGCAAAAAAAACATCGCTATGCGGATTCGTCATTAAACGAATCGCTCGCTATGCGGGGCACCACTGTAAATGCTATACATACCATGCTAAAAGAAAAATCCAGAAAAAATATATTTCCACATGTATTACCAGTACTGGCTAGCCAGAGACCAGGCTATGTAATTTTCAACAACAAGAATACATAGCATGGTCTCTTGCTCCCTCTGGCAGCCAGTTCTGGTAACACATCTTGAAAATATGAATTTCTAGTTTTTTAATATTTTCGGACCACAGATAAGTGAAATCACGGATAGAGATCCCACGGATATGTGGGTCCCACCATGTAGGTCAAGTGAGCTACTTCAGTCGTATTCTGTCAGCCATTTTCTAGATCTTCTTTTATCCGCATCAATGGTATGGGCATAAGTGCTGTGTTGATGGAATTTTTCCACAATCCCCCAAAAATCTGCCCTGTATCCAAGTAGCCTCATTTTACTCGATTATTCTTGGCTCTCCTTCCTTCGCTTTGCAGCCTATTAACCAGTGGCCCAGCTAGAGTCTTGTCCTTAGGCCACCATGAACACACTTGAGCTCAACAGATTTCCAGACGCATCGATTCTTGTCTTATTTTCACTGAGACATGCTGACAGCTTTTGAAGTCGCACCACCTTAAAAGCTTTTGCTTCTTCTTCTTCTTTCTCTTTTTTCTGGGTGCAGACGAGCGATAAGACCATTTTGTACTCGGTGGCCACCGTCCTGGTGAACTGCACTAATAGTTATGACATGAAGGAGCTGGTCCCGGAGCTGGTGCAGCTGGCCAAGTTTTCAAAGCAGCACGTCCCCGAAGAACATCCGAAAGTAAGCCTGTCTGGCGCCCTTCCTCTTGCCATGAGCCAAATCCTATAGATAACTCTACAAAGGTCGTAAAGTGACTAAGACAGAATACAAAAGCTGAGCTTAATGCCTTCCACCTTTTTCTCATCCCCCTTTTCTCTTTCCCGTTTTTTTCCTCTCCCCCCTCCAACCTCAGGACAAAAAGGACTTTGTCGTCCAGAGAGTAAAACGCTTGATCAAAGCCGGTGTCACCTCGGCCTTGGTTTGCATGGTGAAAGCGGACAGCGCCATTCTGACGGATCAGACAAAGGAACTCCTGGCTAGGTAACTCTGGCTCGGTCTGTGTGTGTTTCCTCTGAAGCCTGAAAGATAACAGGACACAATGGGAGACCTATGTCAGTAAAGGCAGCAACATTTATTTATTTATTTATTTATTTATTTATTCATTCATTCATTCATTCATTCATTCATTCATTCATTCATTCATTCATTCATTCATTCATTCATTTATTTATTTATTTATTCATTCATTCATTCATTCATTCATTCATTCATTCATTCGATTTCTACCCCGCCCCTCTAGACAACGTCTACTTGTTGATCTGTGCCAGTCAGGTGTTTG